AAAAAAAAAAAAAAAGAGAGACAACAATCCAACCACCAACAGATCCGCCGCTGCCACCTCCACAGCACCACTAGAGAACACGGAAGAAGAAAAAAAAACTAGAAGGCAGCAAAATCGCTGCCGGGAAAGCGCTTTCCCGACAGCGAAATCGTTGCTCCCAGCAGCAGAATCTCTGCTGCTGGGAACCCAGCAGCGATTTCGCTGGCAGGGAAATCACCCAGCAGCAGCGAAATCGCTGCTGGTTTCCCAGCAGCAGCGAATCATTGCTGGGGACAGCAGCGATTCTCTGCTGAGGGAGGAGGGAGGGAGGGAGGCGTGGTGTCGGCGGTGAGGAAGAGGGTAGAGAGGGAGACGAGAATGAAGATGAGGAATAGAATAGAAATGATTTAGGTTTTGTTTGGGATTAGAGTTATGTTTTAATATATTACCTGATTTTTGATTAAACAAACTTTGCACCTGATTTTTAAAAAGTAAACTTTAAACCCCTGATTTTTTATAATTTCCCATTTTTTTACGTATTATCCCGGCTTGTAATCCGGTCATGGATCTGTCCTTGGATTAAAGGGGGAAATAGTAATATCAAGCGCCTATTCGTTACCCATTTTAATCTCAATTTCAATTAAGTTTTTGGATATTGTCAATGCGACAACCATTTTTTTTTTTACTTAGTATCTCACAGTAAGACCCATTTTCAGGAGGGCAACGGTCATATAATGCATTTTGGGGTGGAAAAAATTAAAAAACAAACAGGCGCAAGATAAAAATATAGTCCTAATTTTTAAATAAAATTGTGAAAACCTTGAGTAAGAATGACATTTCATTGTGAGCCTCAACTACTAATCACCTTTCATCAAAAAAAACATGATTTCTTTTACTGTTAAATACTTTATCTCCCGTTCAGGCAAGTCAGATTCAATTTTTTCATCAAGGTCGTGATACTGGCATAGCTCTCCAAAATAGACAATAGTGGGATTTGATCTTTAGGATTTATATCTACTCTGATATCATGTCGAGTCATTTTATGCAGAAGGTTAAATTCTTAGATAGATAAAATATTCTCTTCAACAATTAAAACCTATGACTATAGCCCCATTCCTCATTCATCACCACATGACTTACCAGTGATACGAGAAAGAGGACGAGAAGAAGAAAAAGAAGTCAACTGGAACGCGAATTTGTCGAATTAGAGCAAGAAGATGCTAGTCCTTTAAGCAAATCGATGAATGCTCCAACTATGAATCCCTGGTTCGTCCTCTCGTTCATCCTCAAATACCATGCTAACAACTCCTCTAAGCATTCCCAATCTTTCAACCCATGAGTCTCAACCATTTCCTCCATGGACTTTTTGAAATCCATGTAAGGATCATCTGACTCTATTGCTAGTACTATACTCTCCTTCAATGGTAAAACTCCACTCATTTTCGCCTCGTCTAAGATTGATGAACTCGTGTTGCTTGGCTCAAAAATCAACCTCTCGGATTGCACCCCACGAATGATCATCTCTACTGATTCACCTCCAGGATCGTCCCCGGAATATGTAGAGCAAGATTTCGGAGTTCCAACCCTGCTGGAAGGGTCGGAGAAAACCGAGTTAACGGTCTTGAAAATTTCGTCGTCTGCTCGAAAAGAATGTGTTTTGGGCTGTTGCTTGCATGAGTGCCACTGCCATGGATGCTTTGCTTCTTTGTTCTTGAAAATGGAAGGGATTTTCATTTTCTTGGCCATATATGAATTGTACCCACCAATTATACAATTAGACAGATGTACATTTTCTTGATGAGTTTCTGTTGGATATGTAAGCTTATGAATTGCAAGAGGTAGTCACAAGAATATAAAGGGGATATGAAGAAGAGGAGCGGTGGAAACAAAAATGGGTATGGTATATGTAGGACCTTTCCTTTGTGTACCGAATCGCAGTTTTGCGTTAGTTCAGTAAGTTCAATTAGATAGTCTTGAATAAAGTAACGGACAAATATATCTCATGTATATGTACTATATCTTCTAAAAGCTTAGAGCTTGTTTGGTATGGTTCAAAATCGAATTAAAATTGAAAATATAGCCGTTATTGAATCTCACTCGTCTAATAAAAGTCAACAATAAGGGCTAATTTTTCAATTTTAATCCGATTTTAATCTCTACCGAACACACCCTTAATCTGTCAAGCATGTCGAGTTCAAATTTACCATCATTGATATAAAAAAATTGTGCACGTTCTGGGTCTTTAATAAAAAATAAATTTGGCGAACACGTGAGGGATGGTTGAGGACGAAGTGTAAATAAGTAGATTTGTCACTATCTAATAATTTAAACATTTTTAGACTAATCAATGTAGCATTATCTCTTTAATCATGTCTAGACAAGTCCAATAAGGATATTAAATTGTGCACGTACAACGTCTTCAATTAAAAAAAATAGGAAAATGCTAGATGTACTCCATGAATTACTACATGGAGTACATCTTGGACAAGTGGCGACCTCCTATTGGAGGGTCGGCTGTGGGGCC